GTTTTTTCTTTTTGTAGCACCACCGCCACCGCAGAAGAGACTGCGAAACAAACCCCCAAGTCAACAGCCTACACCATTTGAGAGGAGTTTGATGGACATGATGACTGCCACCACGCCGCCACCACCACCACCACCACCACCACGACACTCACCACCTCCATGGCTCCGGAGCCCGCCGAATCGTGACATTAGTGGATGGTTAAGACGAGGGGCTGCCTGGGTTTGATGGGGGCAACGTGAGGAGCAGCCGTCTGCCTGAGCGCTTCCAGGCGAGGATCTGGAGGGGACGTCAGGCCCGTCTGCACAGAGATTAAATAAAAAAATATCCCAGATGAGGATTTGTTTTTTCTGGTTTTATCCACGCCAAGCAGCGCTTTCATCTCAGCCATTAGAGCTGCCGTTACTGATCAGAGTCCGTCTGATCGATGAATAATGGAGCTGCCAGCCGGCCTGCTGCGCTACAATCACGACTTTATGAATAAAAAARCTCATGATTAGAAATTTAGCTCATATTTTTGTGCTTATGCTTCCACTTWTACCTATATCTGTAATGATAATGTCTGTGTGACACTATTGGTGTGGTAGTGGTTGAGAGTCATACACAAAACAGGCTGAAGGTGGGCAAATTACGCTCATTAAAGAAGAGCTGGAAATCTTTTCATTTTATAGGATCTTGTTTTTTTTTTTTTTTGTTGTTGTTTTGTTGTTGTTTTTTTCCCAGACAACAATCAGGTCATCTGGCATCAAATGCTTCATTAACGGCCCAACGTCTGCAGGAACATGTGACTGACTGCAGCGGGAAATTTACATGAGCTGCATTTAAATTCCTTTGAAGTTGTTTGTTTTGCTCACCTTGGAAACGAACTGTTTCCACTTCTCCTCCGCGGTGAGGAGCGAACGTGCTCCATAAATATTTATCCACCTGCAGCCGGAGCGGTTCTGACCCGGTGTGTTCAGTCACTGGAGGGAGGGAGGGAGAGAGAGAGAGAGAGAGAGAGAGAGAGACAGCTGTTTTTACACTCTAATAAAAAAGGTTTAGTGTAAAAACAGATGAGGCTGTCACTGTGCCTTTAAGTAGATTTTGTGTCAGAAATTTACTTTTGATACTCAAGTTCAAAAAAATATCAAATACTTTAAGACTTTTACTCAAGTAATATTTTTAAAGACTAACTTTTACCAAAGTATTTTTATGATAAGATACTTCTACTTTTACT